CGAACCGACGCCAGCCAAACGAAAATTCCAGTGCCGGTCCCCAGGGACCGACGCCGGCCACACGGAAAGTTCATTGCCGGTCCTCAGGGACCGGCGCCGCGCTCAACGTGTTATTACCTGTTTCCGGTATGAAGGAAGATTCGTATTCAGATTAAATTTGCGAAACGCCACGAAAACTGTGCAAGGAGCTCTTTCGCCATGCTTTGACTGAACTATCAGTGTTCGTTGTCTTATTTAATCATTCGCTTACGACAATTTGATACTAGCAAAAAATTTTGAACAAAAAAATGTCACATGTAAAGAGTAAATTCTGAAAAGAAAATAAATGAGTCTTCTTTTTGTAGTCACTCTTTCAATATTCGCTCTACGTTTTCTGTGAGAAATAACTCTAGAAATTCTATTCAAATTCATGAAAAATTTTCTTTTTCAGAAACATAGTTACCTTATTAAAATACAGGCGTGGCTCTGAATTCAAAATTATCCCTCTCTTCATTTTTACCCAAAGGTCTATTAATTTCGTTTTGGCATTTTGTCGCGTTTCACTTTTTGAATTTTTGCCACTAAGTATTAAAACCCTCCATTATATTTAAAGAAATTAAATAATGAGGAATCTGCATGAATGTATGCATGTTTCTCGTATTTTGGTAAAACAACGGTACCGAGAGCCATCCAGTTTTGAATAAGTTACATCTTCACCAGAATATTGGCATCTGGAAGCCCGAATTGGGAATTTATTATTTATTTCATATTTTGTAAAACATTTATGAGATTTTGAGAAGATCAGCGATTTCAAAGCGAACAGTGGCAACACTACAGGAAAAAAAATTATCTCCGGCGCGCGAGAAGGTGTATCGGAAATTCTAAAGATATGCTCTTTTTAAATTATTTTGGGATATTGCTGTTGAATTGAATTTTATACTTTACGCGCGAAGAGCATGATATTTTATAAGATAACACACCAAAACGTTACAAAACGCTCCTTTGGGGAATTTTGTGTGTGTATGTATGTAAAATTATTTACCATACATGTAACACAGTCCGATATCATAACTAATGACAACAGAAAACTAAAAAATCTGATGTGTACACCACATGACTTCCTTGTATTGGAATATTTAAATTAGAATACTAAATTATACGCATTTTTTCTTGCATTTCATTTAAACTTATTGGATTGAATTAAATATACTTCGCCGACAGCGCATAAACCACAATAGAATAAATGCATTCTTTAAAATTCACTCTAGTATTTGTTTACCATAGCGACACTCTGGCGCTAGATTCACTTAACAGTATTAATAATTATATAACAGTTAACTTATGTAATAATTATACAACGGAAACTAAGTAACTGTTATATATAATAATAATTATATAAACAGTTAACCTTATATATTTTCGTTCATATTATAACTCATAATGCACAAAATTTATATCATTTAAAGAAAAAAAATTATCTAATCGTTGGCCACATTCTAATTCAAATACTATAATAAAATTGGAAGCTGGAATGATGTATAAAAGAAATTAAGCAAACAAAACAAAAAAGAAACAGTTTTTTTTCACAGACGATTGAGTATTTCTCATTCAATTAATTCAGTTCTCACTGCCGAAAGGCAAAAAATACATAAAAAACTCAAAAATATCTATATTAAAAACTACGAAGTAAATCTCAAACACTTATTTCCTCGAAAAAATTCCAGAAAGAATTAAGCATGATTTAATTGGCAATAATAAATGAATGCGTTATCTTTGTTATTGCGAAGCTCAGTTTCTCTAGATTGGCAAGAAATCCACTAGTCTCCTGTTTCAAACGTAAACATCAATGGCCGCCATTAAAAACAGGCTTAGCGGCAATTACACAACTTTAAAATTGCTGATAATTCTAAACATATTGCACAGAAATTTACGAAAGGCATAAAATCCTTAACCGGAAGATAAAAACAACATAATTCAATCATTTTTAAATCGAAAAACGTATAATTTACAAACATATAAGAGTAAAGAAACTGAGATCATTGAGCCGGGTAACAGAGTGGATATATATATAAATATATTTATATACGTTTTGGCTGCGGCCGATTGCAACTAAAATACGAGGTGCAACATCTACATGTTATAGCAGTCCTATTATACAAAATTTCAAAGTTCTGAGGGCTACTCGTTTTTGAGTTATGCGAGATTACGCACATACGTTCGTGCAGACCGCACACGAAAAATTCTCTTCAGAATTAATTTTAAAGCAGTTTTTAGTTTTATAATTTTTTGAAGGGGAAAAGAGTATTTTATTTATGTCCTTACGTACAGATATCAGGCAAAAACATCGTTAAATTGCATTCGATAGCGGTCAAAATGGATATTTTCGTTGAAATATGCTGCCTGAAACTTTTCGCGATTACAATACTTCCTTTTTACTTCGTACAAGGAAGTAAAAAGATAGGAGAAAATTCATTTGGTTCTAAAATGGATGTAAGACAAAGATTTTGAATGCTTATTAAACTAGTGTCCAATGGGCATCCAAAGATATGAAAATATTTATATACTGCAGCTGTATGTATTATTTTAAGAGACAAATCATTCACTGAACAGGTGTTGTATAAAAAAATAAGTAAAACTGAAATCTGTAGTGGTCTGGAATTTACGTATTTGAACTTTAAGAGGAAGTTACTTTTTATTTCAAACTTCCTATTTTCAAATCTAAATGATTTCATTAGGGCTCTTGTTCAAAATTATACTTTAAAAATGAAGTGACCAGAACCCTGATGATAGTTTCTGAAATCCTAAAAATTATTCTTTAAATTTGTTATTTTCTAACTTCTGCTTACAGTGCAATATTTTTATTCGTCATTTAGTTTTATAAAATTGCGTTAGAAAAACACAAAGATTAATTTGCATTTAATCTGGGAATGATTCTTTGAGCGATTCTTTTGAAGAAAACAGACATTTGGAAACCTTTTAGAGAAGTGAGAGGAACACTTTAGGAACCGTATTACAATAAAATTTAAGTACTTAAAATAGAATTTAATACATGATTTTAAATTAATGATGGCTATAACTACGTTGTCGTGTGCTTCCGCAAACACAGACAGAAGAGTAAATTCTATTGAAGTAGTTAAAACTCTGAAGTAAATATTATTCAATAAATTCTTAATATTCGTCAGTCAGTTTTCCCAATATTTTTTAGTTTTCCTATAGAGAAATCTTCAGATGTTTTACCTTGTAGGACAACAGGCACCAAACAATTTTCTACAGAAAGATATATCTCTTATAGCATTCTCGATTTCAAACTAAATATTGCTGTTACGGTGAAACACCGAAATCTGGAGAATGTCGATTTTCACCGGTGAATGTCAACATTCACTAGTCACTTGGTGTATGTTCGAAATATTTTCCAAATACTCTTATTTCTGACTTACACTGGTAAATGTCGACATTCACCATGTACTAATGGTGAATGTTGAACATATAAGAATATTATATTTTCTTCTCCGTAATTCAGTCGCGAAAAAACGTACTTGAGACTCAGAATAAGAACTTAAGAATATAAGAACTTAAAACACACTGTACATTCAAAATGAGAAAGGAAAATAATAGAAGCTAAAAACTTATTTCTAATTAGAAATAAAATAATAGTAAAAAATGAGGAAATGAGTTCTAAATGAGAAAATAAAATAACAGTAATAAAAAAAACTTACTAAATCATGTAATTCAAATCTTATTTATTCCAACAACTTAAGCTATTATGAAAACTTTATGACCTCTCTTTTCGACCTACACCAGAGAGCATATCTGTGATTGTCGACATACACCGGTGAAGGTCCGAATGAACAAGAATGTAATGCAATATTCAATCTTTCGCCAACGTATTTGGTGAATGTTGACATTCTCCGGTGAAAGTCGACATTCTCCAATTTCGGTCTTTCACGGTAACATTGCCAACAAAAAGTTTTAAAGCGTGCCATTCTATTCGTTTTCCATCGTTTATTGAAATAACTAACCTATTTTTCAGATTTAAAAACAAAATGTACAGTAGTCGAAATAAGCTTACGAAAAATGCAAGTTTTCTCGCTAGAAATATTAAGCTAGTTTATATATCGTTTTAAATAAAATTATTTGGTGTTGTTCTATAAAGAAAAAGATCCGACATTTCATTCGTATAACTTAAAACCGCCCACCTAATTCTAGCACTATTTTTTAAAAGTAATTTATTATAAAATTTTCTGTCCAAAGTGCTTAATAATTTGAATTATATGATTTGTGAGTATATGATTTGTGTTGCTTACATCATGCCTGTTTACAATATTTTTTTAAATATGAATTCAAACTCAGTAACTTCTAGATAATCTGTTTTTCCCAAATACTAGATAAAAGTTCTATCTCTTCTAGATTTCTTAAATATTCGCTTGCAACATTCATACATTACTTGATTCATAGTGAATGGTAGAATCGAAATGAAGGTTAACAAACAAAAAGCAAAATTATTTTAGTTATGGTGGTATTCTTAGGCAGTAAATCCAAATCACCAAATGCAGCTTAAAAGCTGGTTAAGGAGGGAATAAACGTAGTAGTTTGAGAACAAAGGTTTGTATCTTTCATTTGGTCCAATGGTATAATTTTATAATACATTTTATATGATTAAAATAATAATAAATGAATAGAAAATAAGAGTTTTCTTAAAAATTGTATTCATTTCTTATTGATTAAAATTTTAATCTAAACATCTGCTGCCAATGAATGCGTTTAATAAAATAAATTCACTATAAAATAGTAAACTGACTTATACTTGACTCAGTTTGGCTTGCACAGAAGTATAAGCTCGTAAGGTCAACTGAAGTTATAGACTTTTATTTTTGTGCAGTTCTGAGTTTAGCAGATTAATAACTTAGCTCAGTTCGTGAAATAGCTGAGCCATATTAACATGAGTCAAATAATATTTTTTTATCCGTATGGCTTTACAGTTTTGTCTTACTGCTGTAACTTGGCATTGTCTTTTATTTCAGTCCTATTAAGCTGGCAGTTCAAGGCGAATTTAGAGGCGTTCTCGAGGAAGAACGTGAAAAGGGGTAAGCCCATTCTAAAGACATACAGACTGAACTCTCTACATCGAAGCAGAAATGGCCCGTGAATTTTTGGACACAGAAGGACCCCAGAACAGGTGTGCAGTCGTCCGACAGATGAGTGCCCCTGCAGGATACAGTACCCCGATTCCAGTGCCCATTACAGCACCAGGAAATTTGCAGTGCCCACTGGAATTCTGGATTCAGACGGAAACTACTCCACTGTTGTTTGCTGGTCCCAAAGGTACTTTGAAATGCTCACATCTCTGCAAACTAATACATATATATATTACCGTTAAGGTTCCAAATTTTGGAATTAAGCCCCTCCGTTTGATCATAAATAAGCAGTTAAAATTATGCCTTATACGGCTGAGCTTCCATAAACGGGGTAAGTTGGTGATAAACTCTTTTCGTTTGCAATGCAAACTTCACCTCGCACTTTCATTTCACAATTGCTAATTGCAAAAAAAACGGCGCCAAATGAAAATGACGTTAAGTACGACATAAGCATAAATATTTAAAATAAACCACAAAAAATTCAAGTCACAAACATGAAACTAAAAATACAAAAATAATACATACCAAACGTCTCTTCATTCGCACCAAAAAAGTTCACGTCTACCAAATAACGATGCATCATAAAATCACTAAACTATACAAGTCACGATAGTTGTGGAAGCTTACTATCGCACTAGTTACTACTGTCGGGGTAATTTAAAAATTTCACGTCTACAAAATAACAATGCATCAAAGTCACTAAAATATACAAGTTACTATGGTTGTGGTACACAAGCCAGTTTCCCTTAGAAAGCCCTCCACGAAGACATCCATCCCCTTAGGCAGATAGCCCTCGTGTGCTTTGCCATAATTAAATACACCAACACCGTTGTGGTACACTAAACCACTTTCGCTCAACACTTTAAATATTTCACATCTCTCGATTGCCACATGCAAGAAATAAAACTAAAAAAAAAAAAATAATAATAATAATAATTAACCCACCCGAGAAACATTAACTAAATAAAATTAAATAAAAACATTCATAAATTATAAACTACACTTTCTAAACATTCTCCCACCAACAACAGCTTAACATCGTGCAAATATTAAACAGTAAAACTTTTAAAAATAAACAAAATATTTCAAAATTAAATTTAAAAACATTTTTCTGCCTACCCTAAACTCGCACTCATTACAATCACCGAAATAAAGCTCATTGTTTGCCACAAGAAAATGTACAGCCGGAAACCACAACCAAATAGAAATCGCGCCAAATAAAAACTCTCGCCAAGTTTCGCGCTCGCCCCGAAAGAGCAATGATACCTTTTCCATAACAATGTGCCTCACAATGATACCTGACAATCGTAAAGTGTCTCGCCATTAATGTTACTAATGAAGTTTTCGCATCCGGCATAATCTCCTATATATTTCACCTCTTTTCACTGACGAAACAAAATTTACAACGCCTTCGATTTGTATCAAAAAATAAAGTAAAAGCAGAATCGAAAGAGAGAAAAATAAGTGATCGCTGAAGATGGTTCACAGCAATTCTATATAGGATACTGAAGAGTGCTAACAAAATTGCATGACGGCATAATTAATTTATTTCGGAAATGACTATATATCAATATTTAAAGCTATTCAAAGTAATGTTTGCATCCTAGTATAAAATACAATTGTATTTTAAAGAGGTTCCAGCTTTAAACGCTTAACTGAGAGTGATAAATTAAAGTCTGTTTGGTAATAACGGAAATGAAGAAAGATTAGAAACGAATGGGAAATGATACAAATCAAATTTTAGTTGATTGTGCGAAACTTTTGCTTTTAAAATCAGGCAAAAATGTACCTTTAGTTTGGTGTAGATCTTGAATAACACTTCCATTTTTTTTTTACAAAACTAAATTAAACATAAATTTTATACTATCGTGTTCCTCTTCCACTTGAAATTTTGGCTTACCGAATATCTGAAGTAGAAACTAACTGATTTGGTTTTAGAACCTTTAAACTTTACAGAAGAGTAAACTTTGGCTTTATTATTCTGTAAATTGATTTATTAAATGCATAAAACTGTATTTGCTGAAAGATATATACAATAGTTTACTCAGGTAGATAGAGCTAATCGTAATCCAAGGCATATGGATCCAATGTTATCCAAAGTATATGGATATCAGTTGATGAGTTACAAATGTTTCTAAACTGATTTATTTTGTGCGTTTATAATTTAATCAGCTCTGAAAATGGAGGCTATAAATGTTAAGTCTTCTATGACTTTCTAAGGAATTTAGTTACTACTGCCATCTTATTAAATGAAAAATGCAGTTAGCATTTAATTTCATTACAAGCTTTTAAATGCAGTTTTACATCACAAAATTGGAAGTACGAAATGTGGAATCATTTCAGAATGTTTCTAAAACTTCAGCTGTTACGAGCCGCTCAGCTCATATTCTGAGCTTTCTTTCCATTTCGAGGTTTGTTAATGTAGCTTTATAACGGATGTTTGTTATGAATATCAGGATAAGTACTCGAATCAGAAAGAGGCAGAAAATGTTAATATGAATGAATAAAAACCACGTAAAAAAAACTTTAAAGAAATTTCTCATTGTCTTAATTCATATCTCGACTTGTTATTTAAATTTATGTTTTACTTACACGATTCTCTAGTTAATCCAAGCACCTATTAGCACTAGTTTCAAAGAATGATTGCAGTTAATTAGATTTTATAAATTCCAGTTATTTTTTTGTTTTATATACTTACGAAGTCTCTCGAATTCTTCCGAAGGACCTCTTCCACCGAAAGGCGATTTTGTGGTACAAGGAGACAGTTTATTGAAACATAAAAATGAAACAGACAGTGAAGAAGACGACAGCAGTGAAGTGGACGACGAGAGAGCAGAGACTGTATTTTCCATAGCTTGTCAAGTATTCGTTCCTTTCATGATTGCAGGATTCGGCACCGTGGCCGCTGGTCTGCTGCTGGACATTGTGCAGGTGGGTAAAGCAAAGTACCTATCAGCTTGCTATCATAATTTTGTAATGCTGGGTGGAGAGCTCATTTATTTTTAGCTCAGAAGGGGTATTAATTTCGTTTTGGCATTTTGCATTGGTTCACTACAAAGGCCGTTTCACTTTACAAATTGTTGCCACTAAGTATTAGAACCCTGCATTTTATTTAAAGAAATTAAATAATGAAGAATCTGTACGCATGTCTAGAGTGTCTAGAGTGTACGCATGTCTAGCACTGTGAAAAAAAAAGCGGTACTTGGAGGTATCCAATTCTGAATAACGTAGTCCTCCACTCAAATATAGGCATCTGGAAGCCCGAATTTGTAATAGCTTTTATTATCTATTTCATATTTTTTAAAACTTTAACGATTTTTTTTTATTAACAAACTCCACGATTTCGAAGCGAGCAATGGCAACACTGTACGGAAAAAAAACATTTTATCCCCAGCGCGCGGGACTATCGAAAATTCTAAATATATGCTCTTTTTAATTTATTTTGTGATATTGTTGTTGAATTCAATTTTGCTGTTTAAGTGCGAAGAAGATATTTAATAAGTAAAGTTAACAAGCAAAACATTAAACAAAAGCCCCTTTGGGAGTCATATAAAATCTGAAAGCTTTCCGATTTTTTTAACGTTTACCTTAATTAAAATAATTAGGCGTATCCTTAATTCCTAAACATAATTCTACAAATACTGCATTCAGATTTACTAAAGGCAAAAAATCTTAACCGGAAGATAAGAACGACATAATTCAATCATTTTTAAAGCAAAAAAATGTACAATTTAAAAACATATACGAATAAAGAAACTGAGATCACTGAGCCGAGTAACACAGTGTATAATATATTTATATACGTTTTGGTGCGGCCGATTGCAACCAAAATACGAAGTGCACATCTACCTGTTACAGCAGTCCTATATACGAAATTTCAACGTTCTGAGGCTACTCGTTTTTCAGTTATGGAAGATACGTACGTACATACGTAAGTACAGACGCCACGAAAAATTCTCTTCAGAATTCATTTTAAATCAATTTTATAATTTTTTTGGGGGAAAAGAGTCTTATTCTGTTCTTACGTACAGATGTCACGCGAAAACATCGTCAAATTGCATTCGATAGCGATCAAAATGGATATTTTCGTTGAAATATGCTACCTGAAACTTTTCGCGATTACAATACTTCCTTTTTACTTCGTACAAGGAAGTAAAAATGATATTTACCTATCAAATTCAGTATTGATCTCCGGTAGCCAGCATATTGATGGAAATGGATATCGCGGGCTAAACGGAAAAGAAGCCAAAACAGGCTTGGCGCTTAATGTGTGAATCTAAACAATGGAAAAACAAGGAGCAAGAAAATAAAATCATTCCTAATTTTTCTATTTAAGCATTTTCTACTGCTACTTGAGAATTAAAATAGTTGTAATTCTTTGTTACAGGGACCACAAACCATATTTGCCGATTTTAGATTTGAGTCAAGATCGTGAAGCGCGAATGTAAAAACGGTAGAATGTATAATAATAATATTCACATGTCGTTTCCTAAGGATATCTTTAATAATCCTTATCCTTGTTGTGGTTATTTTATTGCATGTAATTGTTCCAGTCAACTGCAGCACTTTCACACACATTAAGCTGTTTGTTACACCATTTCATAGGCGTCCATTTCGGACCATGTTATGATGAACGATATTCTGGAACCCGCTGAACTAATATCCAACACGGAGGACTTTCCTTTTTCTAATTTTCAACACTGCACTTCCAAATGGTTTCGCCGTTCAAATAGTTTTTCCCCTTGTGGCCATTTTCGCATACTCGTTTGTCAGGTAAAAAACCTCCATCTTGAAAAAATTGTATGGCATTCACTTCATTACTTAATAAATTAAAAATTGTTAACGCCACATTCACACAAAAAAGCAATGACTATATTTTTAAATAAACACTGAGAATTCCAGAAACTCATCAAAAATTAAGGTACTATTCGGTTTTGAGGGCCATAAAAAATCGCCAAACTAGTGTTGATGCCAGTGCTGCCAAAAATAATTGCGGCAACCCTAACGCAAGAAAGAAGTATAAATAGTAAATAACTATCTAAGATGGATGTTTTAATTTAAATGAAAAGTTAATTTCATAGAATACTTTTTTATTATTATAATTTATATAAAATTGCTGAACATAATGAATGCCTGCATCGCTATTTCGCTACCGAGTTATCTCTAAAGCATAATTTCATCTCGTTGGTTGTTCAAACATAATTTTTTATAATGAATGTCTTTTCTTTGAAAAAATTCTCGGTAAACTGCAGAATCGCCCACTTATTTGTTTGCCGCTTTTTACAAGGGTAGGTAGGTGACGGATGACGGGAACGCCTGGTGGCTACCAGAGATAAAACAGGCATGTGTCCTTCGCCTTCCACTATCTAATGGCAACAATTTCCTGCGGCCTCAAGAGTCCACACCGGGAGCTTATTAAGAGCGCAGGAGTTTACATGGCCAAACAGGGACGACTTATTAACATTGCTTGACTTTTTTACAAGGGTTAAAAACAATTGGGTTTTTGTCAATTTTCTTGTACATTTCAAGTGAAAATGAGTCGATGTCTACATAGATAAAGTTAAGGGTGTGCGCAGTGCCATTTTTGTGCAATTCTAGGATTTTTTTTTTTTTAAGTGAAAATAGGTCGAGGTGTACATGGATACCGAGCATGTGCAATTCTTAAAAACGCGTCAAGCAGTGGGTGATTCTGCACTTTACCCAAAATTCTATTGCAGACTTTTCGTTATGGGCAATTCCTAAATTTGTTAAATCCATAGGATACCAAAAAAGGATTTAAAATCACAAAAGGACTTAAAAATTAAACTAGTATTTCAATGGCGTCTTAAGAAATATGGAACTATATAAACTTACGCAATCTGCAATCAGCGCGTACGCTACATTTGGCGCGCTGTTAAATGGGCGCGTTTTTGCGCATACATTTTTGCTGCAATTTTTTTACGGTCCTCAAAACGGAATAGTACCAAAATTAATAATATAAGAATATGGGGCGAGAGAAAAATGCTAATGTACGATTACGTAGCGAGGTATAAGAACATGCAGCCAGATTTTGGCGAGATATCTCGGTTGATTGCGAATTAACTCTCGTGGGGTGGGCCGATATAACAAAAATGCACCTAAATAGTTTATCCTGAAAGATAATGACCTCAGAATATCTAAATTAAAACTATCAAACAAAAACTCCATGAGGTAATTTCATATACACTACTCACCTAACAATGGCAAGAGGTAGCCTTTCTTGAATATCAGGAGAAAAACTTTGCATAACAGTAGTTACAAATGCGTATTTTTTACGTTACTTACGCCTATTATAAGCATTTATTTTTATCTTTACCTAACGAATGTCATTCTCATGGTTATTCGAAAACACATTAATCAGAAATCACTGCCCCCTCTTTAGTTCTGATAGATGGGGATCTAATACTTACTTCTAATTTTAATAAATCTACACTTCTACGTGAGAGAAAATTGAATAATAAAATTTATAAGCTTCTTCCTCATACTTTGAAAATATATAAGTTCCCCTTTTTTTCTGAATATCTACATATATATATATATATTTTTTTTTCCGCAGCACTGGGATGTATTTCAAGAAGTTCCGGAAATGTTCGTTTTAGTGCCCGCTTTGCTTGGCCTTAAAGGCAACCTTGAAATGACTTTGGCTTCTAGAATCTCTACGTTGGTATGTAATTTTCACATTTATATCAACGTTTTCTTCGTTTTAAGATCAAATAATAGTCACAAAGATTCTAAACACAATAAATCTATATAGTCGGTGTCATTTCTTTAACTGTGGTTAGTTACATCAAGGTCTACAAACGTATGCATCCTCCACAAAATAATAATGTAAAACAACACTATAACCAAACATTCTTTACTGGAAAAGCGCTATAAAGGGTTATGTATTTTTTAATAAAAAAGGCTCTTTTTGTGGGTATAAAAAACACCTTTTAAATTTCTGCCTAATATCCAAAATTTCGCATAATACAATCTATCAGTCAGTTGCAATAAAACAGATTTTTATACCTTGTAACTTAAGTTTAAACATTATTAACATTATTTCTAAATTTCTAATATGTAATTTTTTATTTTAACATTATTTTAATTTAATATATTTTCTAAATATCCTTATGCTTTCATATAACCAAATCATTTATGAACTCCTAAAAACGTTATCTTTAGATCTAAAACAATAGCTTCTGTCGAAGAACTTTATCGCAATGATTAGTGATTTAAACAATAAATAAGCAAATTTAAAATCTAATAATAATTACAACAATAAAGGCCCACCAGCGGCCGAGCGGTAAGGTCGCTGAACACTGGTAGTTCGATCCGAGTTTCGAATCCCGCGAATGGGCTGGCCGCATAGGTGTTTTCGTGGTTTTTCCCATGTGTCATGTGTATACGAGCCAGTTTCCCTTAGAAAGACCTCCAAGAAGGCATCCCTCCCCCTTAGGCAGATAGCCTTCGAGGCTTTGCCGTAATCACATAAACCTACAACAATAATATTTTAGTCAACTTAAATTTCAGAGTCACCATAAGTCATAAAACTGTAATAATAATATTAATAAAGTCTAATCAAATTTCACTGTCATTATAATAATAGACAGCGTTATTTATAACGGATACCTTGGCTATCTTTAGATTTGTATCCTACTTAAGGCTCTTTAAATATTTGAAACGTAAGACGCCTGTAGGGCCAAAAATTAGTTAAATTCGATGATATAAGTCTTTAATATTTATTTCTATGTGAATTATTTACTTATGAAAAAGGTTACTAAAAGATTTATTTACTTACAGGCTAATCTTGGAACAATAGACACACCGAAAGAACAATGGAGAATGGCACTCGGAAATATAACCCTCCTGCAGGTAAGTTTCCAAGTGTTTTGTCTCGGGATCTATAACAGAAAGAATTTTCTTATTAGGAGTTTTTCGCTTTCTGAGTCCTTAAGGATGCTGTAAAAACAAAAGTTTAAAATACTACTATTTTGTAATAAACATTCAGTAAAAAAAGTATTCAGTAAAGAGCCAGAAATAACTATATAGCACAATTAGTAATACCTACCATGAACTGAATGATAAATGAAACGAAATGATACCTAATGAAAAAGAGATAAATTTATTTATATTATTGAAACTAATTTAATTAGTTTAAAATTTACTTTAACTCTTTAATTAATAAATGAAATTTCTTAAACATTTTAATTTATATTGAAACAGTTCTAAATTCCAATTTTAAACTCTTTTAATTAATAAACGTAGTTTCCTAAACATTTTAGTTTATTTTGAAGCAGCTGTCAATTAGTGAAAGGTAACATTTAAAAAAATATTAAACAAAACTCAAAATTAGCATGTCCTCCGCCAACACAAATGTTTTAATATACTATTTTCCGTATAAGGTACACTGATTTAACATTTCCCCTACTGATAGAAAAACTTGAAATCTCTTACAGTTATATAACTATGTGTAATTCTGCGAGACTTATTTTATTGTACCTGCAGGTGGAATAGTATTGTTGACTATAAAAATATATTTGAGAGGTATCGCTTACGATATTATCTAATCTCTTACAATATCCATTCTAAATATATATCACAGTCAGTCAGAATCTCACGGAACAGAAAAATTGCTATCTTAACTATAAACATTTTCGTATTTTTAAAAGATACACAGGTGGAACGTAGGTAATTCCGTCATATTTCACTCATGTTTAATTCGTTCTGAAAAACATTCAAAGATTAATCGAAACATCAAGTAAAAGATAAAAGTAGAAATAAATAAACAAAATAAAGCAATAAAAGTAGACAATACAAATAAAACAATAAAAGTAGACAATATAAATAAAACAATAAAAGTAGACAATATAAATAAAACAATAAAAGTAGACAATATAAATAAAACAATAAAAGTAGACAATACAAATATAAAACAATAAAAGTAGACAATACAAATAAAACAATAAAAGTAGACAATATAAATAAAACAATAAAAGTAGACAATACAAGTACAATGAAAGAAGACATAACAAAAAATGAAACAAAAAGCAGACCGAAATATGGTCTCTTCCAAAAATCATACACCAAAGTAACTCTATGAGGAAAGCGCTGTCGTTCATAAAAATGAGTCCAACTTTACCCCTGAAAAGAGAAGCATAGAGCTCTTCGATATTTTCTTTATCATAAAATCCCTATCAGAGACAAGAAGAATCAGTATTCCCGTCGAACATGATGCCTATGTAGGCCTTCAAACTGCAGCTGACTAGTCCCTTTTTTGAATGTTGTGACTAGTTGTGATGTTATGACCAGTCCCTTTTTTGTTCCCACTGTCTATTGATCTAAAAAAAAAAAAAAAAAAAAAAAAAAAAAAAAAAAAAAAAAAAAAAAAAAAAAAAAAAAAAAAAAAAAAACAAAAAAAAAAAAAAAAAAAAAAAAAAAAAAAAAAAAAAAAAAAAACAAAAAAAAAAAAAAAAAAAAAAAAAAAAAAAAAAAAAAAAAAAAACTGTGTCCTTAGTCCTGTGTTAAATGAGCGCTCCTGTGTGCAGAAAAGCGGACGTATCGACAGGTCTTCTTACAGGACAAGACAGAAAAGTGCAGGGGGCCACGACATCGCATAGACAAAAATGGTATTGCTCCATTGCACTGACCTTTTCTGGCATTTATTGAGACCAAGATACATTTTAAGTCATTACATTACGCAGTTGACATAAAATACATTAAAGTACAAGTTACTTACATAGGAAGAACCAATTATAAAGATAAACTGGGTACAGGTAATCGAGGTACAGATAATTAGTATACCTGAATCAATATGCAGATAACATGTTACAATTAATTAGGTGTTGCATTGTGGTGTGGCTTGGAGGAATATCTTAGCATTGGGAAGATGGATGTGATGCGAGTTATAATGTATGTTATTTTGTGTGGTGGTATCGTTGTGTGATTGTGCACAGATTTTGCAGAGTTTTACTTTGCACAGAGTTCATTATGCATAGAGTTCAATGTGCACATAATTGTGCGCAGCAGCATGAGAGCACTTTGTATAATGAGCATCAGATAATAGTGTAAAGTTCAAAGTACTGCGCTTGGCAGTTTGAAGCACTGGTAGTTGATAATCATCACTCACATAATAGTGATGACTTAGGATAGGAGCACTCCCTGTTGAATATCATATTTGAATCATATGAGTACCTTAGATTGTTTCCATGGAAAGTTAAATGGTGAAGCTGCAGATTAGGTGTCGTTCTTCAGAGGAGGTGAGCAAACAGTCATGATTCTTTGGACAGCTGTGTGGTTGCACTTCGATTGCTAAGTATTTATCATTACGTCCGTTTTGTTATTTATGAGTGGCATAGTTCTCTACCTTGTTGTTGTAGCTTGTCTATGATTAGTTCAATGTTCTTGTAGGTGTGTTGATGGTTGATTAGGAATCTTTTAAATTCCATTCCCACTTGAGTAGTGTGTTTGACGTGTAGGTTGGCGGTTAGTGGGCAATTAAAGACATAATTCTTACAAGCAGACGGATGTAGATTCTTACAAGGTCTTCTTACAGGTGACAGGTGACAGCAGGACAGGGCACCCGGACGGCTTTCTATGACTACTCGGGTATTACCCTGGTCCTGCAACCATCTAGAGACTTCACAGTTGTAAGACGCTTTTATGCCAATTGTGTTTATTGCATGTGCCCTATTCCGGCCTGCAGAGGTCTATGCCCATTTTTTCTAGTTTCTCCATTATGCTTTTAAGCTTTTGTCGCGTGCCTCGATGTTTTACGAAAGGTCTTCTTACAAGCAGACGAAATCACATATTAAGCTTTTCTTTACCTTATGTTACCGTTTTCAGGGGTGCATTTGGTCTACAGCTCACTTTTATGGGCCCAACGCTCGTCCACATATAGCTCCAAATCTAAACCCGGCTAATCTTTGGAATATGGTAACAGGTAGTTTGGCGACATTTTGGTAAGGCGATAAAGGTTACTATCTAGGACTTTAGCAGTGTACATGGATATAGTTAAGAGTGTGCGCAATGCCATTTTTGTGCAATTCTGGGATGTTTTTTTAAGTGAAAATAGGTCGACGTGTACACGGATGATACCGTGTATGTGCAATTCGTAAAAATGCGGCAAGGAGTGGGCGATTCTGCACTTTGTCCCAATTTCGCACCTAATCTTCGTCATGATTAAGCACTATTATTCCATAAAAGTTCTAGCGTAAGCTTAATTCGGGTAGCAGATTGTTGGAAATGTTGAGTAAAAAAAAAACATGCCTTTACTTCTTGAAAACAAAATGGCGTCCAAACAAAAACTAGCAGGTTGCTGTAGCAGGGTTGGGCGCCAAAGTTTCGCCAAAAAATCGCCAAGTTACCATAATACAAAGATTAACCCTAAACCCTTTAGAACATGTCTAAAACGTCCTGAGGTGGACTCAAACTGTCTCATTTTCAGTATGAAGCTATGTTGTAAGATCTGTATAAACTTTAGAAGGAACTATACCTACGGTTGCAACTCCTATTTTATTTGAATCTGCAAACTGTATTTTAGACTTTACCCGCACCCAAAGAGCCTTATGCTATGAATGCACCATGACTGTTGTACGGTATATTCTATGCATTTTATCAACTGATGTAACATAAAATTTCACTAAAATCTGTCCATTTCCGCAGGTAACTGATCAAATGTGAAAACTATCTGAATTCTGATACTCATGTCTATGCAAAACTTATTATTTCAGAATAATTTGAATACGGACTTCGTAGTTAAAGACGAATGGTAAAAGGTTAATTTCATATACTTTTTATTATTATAATTTATATAAAAAAGGCTAAACATAACTGAATGGAAGCATAAGAGTAAATAACTATTTCAGATTAATATAATTTATATAAAAAAATCTGATGTGTACACCACATGACTTCCTTGTACGGAATATTAAATTTATACGCATTTTTTTTTCTTGAAATTCATTTAAATTAATTGGATTGAATTAAATCTACTTCGTCGACAGCGCATAAACCACAATAGAATAAATGCATTCTTTAAAATTCACTATATTTTTTTTTACTATAACGACACTTTGAATGCACAAAATTTATATCATTTGAAGAATTATCTTGCTACATGTTGTATTCAAATACTATAATAAAGCTAAAACGATGTATAAAAGAAATTAAGTAAACAAATCAGAAAAGAAACAGTTTTTTACAGACGATTGAGTATTTCTCATTCAATTAATTCAGTTCTCACTTCCCGACAAGGCAAAAATACATAAAAACTCAAAATATCTGCATTAAAAATTACGAAGTAAATCTTAAACACTTATTTCCTCGAAAAAATTCCAGAAAGGATTAAGCATGATTTAATTCGCAATAATAAATGAAGGCGTTATTTTTGTGTTGCGAGGCTTAGTCTCTCTAGATTGGCAACAAATCTACAATTCTGCTGTTTCAAATATAAACAAATATGTCCGCCATGTTATTTAAAACTTAACCGCACTTAAACAGCTTTTAAATTGTTGAAAATTGTACAAATATTGCTTCCAGAATTACGAAAGGCATAAAACCTTAACCGGAAGATAAAAATAACATAATTCAATAATTTTTAAAGCAAAAAATGTACAATTTACAAACATATAAGAGTAAAGATACTCAGATCACTGAGCCGGGTAACAGAGTGGATATATATAAATATATTTATATACGTTTGGTGCGGCCGATTGTAACCAAAATACGAGGTGCACATCTGCATGTTATAGCAGTCCTATATACAAAATTTCAACGTTCTGAGGTTACTCGTTTTTGAGTTATGCGAGATACGTACGTACGTACACACGCACGTACATACGTTCGTACAGTTTCTACAACGTACAGTTCGTACAGTACAAATTCTCTTCAGAATTAATTTGAAAGCAGTTTTATAATTTTATTGGAGGAAAAGTGTCTTTTATTCTGTCCTTACGCACAGTTATCACGCAAAAACATCGTTAAATTGCATTCGATAGCGGTCAAAATGGATATTTTCGTTGAAATATGTTGCCTGAAACTTTTCGCGATTTCAATACTTCCTTTTACTTCCTTTTTACTTCGTACAAGGAAGTAAAAAGGCTAAGCATAACTGAATGGATTCCTGCACCGCTATTTCGCTACCGAGATATCGCTAAAGCATAATTTCATCTCGTTGGTTGTTCAAACATAAATTTCTATAATGAACGATGCCTTTTCTTTGAAAACATTCTATTGCAGACTTTTCTTCACTGGCAATTCCCAAATTGTTAAATCGATAGGATATCAAAAAAGGATTTAAAAATTAAACTTGTATTTCAATGGCTTCTTAAGAACAGAACTGTCTAAACTTATGCAATTTAAAATCAGCGCGTACGCTAGATATGACGCGCTGTTAAATGGGCGCGTTTGCTAGATTTGGCGCCTTTTGCGCATACATTTTCGCTGCAATATTTTACGGTCCTCAAAACGGAATAGTGCCAGATGAATTACTAAGGAAAAATTATTTATTATATGCTAAGATTTACACTGAAATTGTTTTCATATTTAACCATTTTTTTCCCATGGCAGGCACTAATCATTACTCCTAAGGCAGTGGCGACCACTTTACTATGGAGACACCTAATAGGTGGGTCGCCGTATCACCTGCGAAGGGACAGACAATTTACATCCATGCCTTCTCCGGAATTTGAACCGTCCCTTCGCTATGGCAGTCAGAGTCACTAACCAGTCACTGGCGCCCCACCCCCCCCCCCCCCCCCCCCCCCCCCCCCCCCCCCCCCCCCCCCCCCACCCCCCCCCCCCCCACCCCCCCCCCCCCCCCCCCCCCCCCCCCCCCCCCCCCCCCCCCCCCCCCCCCCCCCCCCCCCCCACCCCCCCCCCCCCCCCCCCCCCCCCCCCCCCCCCCCCCCCCCCCCCCCCCCCCCCCCCCCCCCCCCCCCCCCCCCCCTTCACTTTCCATTTGGGCGGCCCACAACTAACCATGATAGGTCCATTAACGTCCTACCGTTAAAACCCCTGAATATTGGTAGTTCGACCCGAGTTCAACTCGGGAGAACGAGTTAGATGTATGGGAGTTTTTATAGTATTCTCTACAAACCAACTCGTTCTTTATTCATGACAAAGAAATTAAGAAAAGATATAAATGTAAATCCTAATATTTAACATACCTTTGCCTCATAGGTAAAAAATTTTAAATGTTATGGTTAAAGAACACAATTTTTTTTTTTTCTTCCAGCATTCATTTTGGTTAAATGCAGAGTTCGTTGAGGTGACTAGTTTTTCTTTTATATTTCAGTGTCAGTCTTTAGTCCTGGGCCTGATTGCATCCGCATTTGCCTCTATTGTTGGCTGGATCCGCGAAGGGGAGTTTAACATCCACAACGTACTCCTTCTCACTTCTAGCAGTTTGGTGACAGCCTCGGCAGCCAGTTTCGCTCTCGGTAAGTTTACTAACATATTTAAAGAAACCTGTTCATTAAAAACGCAGAAAAACTGCACAATAAAATGCTCTTATCTAAGAGTGAACCTGGAGAATCTGAATAAACGCATTACAGTGCGAACTTTACTGATTATTTTTTCTTACTAACACAAGGAGATTCGAATCCCGCAAACGAGCTGGCAGCATGGGCGTTTTCTTCATGTGTAACATGTATACGAGACAGTTTCCCTTAGAAAGTCCTCCACACGAACCTCCCTTTAGGCAGATACCCCCTTTACCTACCTCCCTTTAGGCAGATACCCCTCGAGTGCTTTGCGATAATTAAATAAACCAAACCAAATCTTGGTAACGAAATTTAATAGCTGGTTATTTTTCCCTCCAAATTCAGTTACGCTATAAAATTTACTCATTTTTCTGTATACTTTTTAGTCTGTACAGACTATGTATAGATTATTAATTATTAAAATACAAACAGCTATTATGGAAAATGAAAAGGCAACTAACGCGGGGGAAATATTCTATATGTTTTTGGCATGTTCCAGAAAGTGTCTACTGTGACAGTTTATTATATGTCGTTTTTCCATCAAGAAATTGAAAAGAATCGGAACTTTCCAAACTCATTTATAGACGATTAATAACAAATCATGTTTAATCATAAAACAGCAACAAATTTGCGACCAGAAAACTGAAATAATAGCTTGACAGTTTAAAAGGTTTTGGTTTAATCCTAGTATCCGGTGCACACGGGATTTGGCTACTTTTCGCGACTTTATGATGAGCAGTAAAAACGGGACATATACGATGACGGGTAACTTAAACGGGTCATTCAAAGAATATATATAGTTATACATAGTATATACTATGTACATTATACACTATAGTATATACTATGTATATAGTGTATAGTATATATATAGACGTTCTTTGGATCATGTTTGTTGTTGGAGCTAATTTTCAAAATCGCGCCAAGGCTACACCGTATACTAGGATTTTACCAAGGTTTTATTATTTTTATAGCAAAGTACTCGAGATCTATCTACCAAAGGGGAATAATGCCTTCGTGGAGGACTTTCTAAGGAAAATTGTCTCGTATACACGTTACACATGGGAAAGACCACGAAAACGCCCATGTAGCCAGCCCGTTAACCTGGATTCAAATCTAGACGGATCATAGGAGACCGTGTCACTGCTCGAGTTTGACTCGTAACTTTCGAATTGGTGAATAACCATAGAACGTGTGAAGCACCCCCAGAGTATACGGAAATGGTGTCTTTAATTTCAGTACATCTCTCAGAAATATTAATTTAAATAGAATCTCTGAAATACAATGACTAAATTATTTTTAATTAAAGCAACCCATGCAGCCAGCCCGTTTGCCGGGAATCGAACCCCGGGCCGAAATATTAGCGTTCAGCGACTTTACTAGGCCTACAATTTACATAAAAGGAATTTTATCATTAAAGAAATAAAACTAATACCTACTCTACCAATCGATAAAGCTAATTATTAATTGTTAAATAAAACTAAATTTAATTAGGAAATTTGAATTTTAAAATTGTAACATTTATTTCCGATTCCGTTTTTTTGAACAAAAACTTGTATAAATATGAAAATATCCGAATTTTAAAATGCAAATTATAGTTTGAATATTTTTTTTTAATTTATAGAACGCACGAAGAGGGTTACAATCCGTATATTATTACAAAATTTCATTTTTACCATTTGATTTTCTTTTCAAGGAATACGATAGCGGACATAAAATTTAATCGTTCGGATTGAAGCATAGCACATGGAAGCCTGAAGGAAGGGAAAAGGACTTTTTAAAGAAAACTGGCTCATATTCACGTTACACATGAGAAAAAAATTTAAAACTTCCCTTACACAGCCCGTTCGCAGGGGTTTGTTAAAGTCGAATTAACCAGTGATCAGAGAGTTTCCACTTCAATCTTTAGTGGGCTAGTCTACATAAAATCCAGAATTAGAAATTTTGAGTCGACATACTATAGCGTATCGGAAACCTGTTCTATTTGTTTGACATTAATGGCGCAAAACAACCCTTCTCGCAAAAGTTATTTTAAGAAGTACAATACAATTACTTTTTAAATATCTGACTGAAAGGAAAAATACACTCTTAGATTACAGTTGGCACTGATTAGCAAAAATATCTGATCTTTATCTGCGACAAACAAAACCTACTGTGCGAAAACAGAAACAGCTTTCGTAAGCTCTTAATATGGAGCACATAAAAATAATGTATATACTGTTTGAAACAGACTATCATAGTAAACATATCGGTACACAATTTGGGGAAAGTGCAGAATCGCCACTGCTTGGCGCGTTTTTAAGAATTGCACATACTCGCTATCCATGCACACGTCGACCTATTTTTACTTTAAAAAAAATCACAGAATTGCACAAAAATGGCATTGTGCACGCCCTTGACTTTATTCATGTACACATCGACCCATTTTCACTTAAAAAGTCAAAGAAAATTAACAAAAGTCCAATTCCTCTCACTCTTGTAAAAAGCGCCAAACAAATAATTGGACGATTCTGCACTTTATCCCACAATTTTTTTATAGGTAATAAAGCAGAAGGCAGTAAAAGACATATTCAAAGGGACTGTCACATTCGCTGGACTTCAAATGTATTCTATTTTCCTGCGAAGTAAACTATATTAAAAATCAGTTCCCCTAATATTAATAAATAAGTTATTACGTAAATCCTAAAAATCCTTAATTAAGATTTTTAATAAGTATTCCCTACTGGGAACATTACCAGATAAACGGATAAAAATACAGCTTAAAATTGTGTGTCGTTGTATATCTATCCTCTCGAGTCAAAAATACAGGAGGGTTCAAAATGAATATAACGATTAAAAAGGGCTATAAGTAATTAATTGAAAAGAATTTATCGATAAGAATTTCAAAGAATGTAGAAGGAAGTTCAAAACTTTACATACTTCATAAATGTTCTGTGTAACTCCCCTTGTTAACGCACACAACGTCTAAGCAGTAGTCCAACTCCATACATTCCGAAGCACATCTGGAGTCGCCAACGCAAGCGCATTAGAAATGCGCAGATTGAGTTCTGGAATTGTTTTCAGCAAAGGAAACACAACGGGCGATTTCTTTCTGTGGGGTTATGCGCAAGACCTTGTGTATGTACTTGACTATTAATTCAAGATTGAGGTTAATTGGCAATATGCACCTTCGTTGTTTCCTTCCCTGAGAAATATGCATGTTTTATGCCCCACTTTGCTTGCATGACAGATAATGTGTGATTTGCCTGCTTCATAATTTTGCAAAGTTCCATATCACTTAAAACAAATGTTCATGAATTGTATGTCCAATAAGTTCGCGATATCGACACAGAAAGCAAGAAACTTAACCCAAGAAATCAAAGCCGGATTTAGACTTGATAAGGCCCTAAGCTGTTTGAGATATGGAGCCCTTAAGGGGGCTCATACACCTTAAACCCCTTATGATCTTCAAATATGTGACTGCTGCAAGAAGTGGGATATTTTATTTATTTTAAAAGCAATTACTTCCAACTTTTTACAGCCGACTACATAATATAGCTGCTTTGGAAACTAATAGCCAGAAAGTTTGTGCTGCACAAATATTTTTGTAATTTAATCCGCTTTGTGAGAAAATGTTTCGTCATGTTTTAACGTTGCGCACATGATATTTTAAAAATTGCTACTTGAAATTTGATGGAATTCTTTATATGGGCACTATTTTCTAACTAAACAGAAAATCTGGTGAACAAATTTTATGAACGAAAACATTACAGATTTTTTTTTAATATAATACATTTTATAAACTCGACTCCAAATAAAATAAAAATTTAACATGAAATTCTTAGAATTTTTGGTTTAGAGTAGTTTCCAAAAGTTATAAAAGCTATATATATATTAAATATGGAATTAAATTATGCAACAGAATGTTTTAAACTGTGCGCGCAAGGTGCAAACATGACGAAAAATTTTGTCAGAAAGCGGATTAAATTATAAAAATGTCTGTGGCAACACAAAATTTCTGATTACTATTTCAAAAAGCAGCTATGTTATGTAGTCAACAGTAAAAAGTTGGAAGTAATTGCTTTTAAAATAAATAAGTTATTCCAACTCTTGCAACAGTCACATATTCGAAGATATTATGGGTTTAAAGGTGTATGACTCCCCTTAATAAGTCTGTTATACTATATTTGAATACTATATTTATACTATATTTTTATTTATGGGGGACCCTAAACTATACCTTGTGTAGCTTACACATAAATCCTGCACAACAAGAAAGAATAAATATTGTTCATACCTTGATTCCCTTACCATTCTGTGCATCTCCCCCTGCAGATTCAAATAATTCAATCCGCTGTGTTCTTTAAATAAATTAAAAAAATCTGCCCAATTTAAAATTCTTTATTTCTTTACATAAGAAAGTTATGGGATATAAATCCGCCACGTTGTTTCTCGGTTCCGATGCCTATACCACACTTGTACGCACAAGTGAATAAATGAGAATTTTATTTTCGATGGCACAACTTTTTGCTTTCCATCACTATACGAATACCGTACTGATCCAAATATCAGAAGGTGTTTTTCCTTAAAATACTCTTATGAAATTCGTCTCATGATCTTAGCCTAACATTTGAGTATCATATTAAGAAATTATATTTTATCATCTGTGTCCTAAGGACACGTATTTCTTTAACTTTATGCCATTTAGATACCTTTCTTGTAAAACATCTTTCGTTATTGTGAAGGTGATATTTCTGAAGCCGTTTTAGCCAATATGGTATTGTTCTCATTAAAGTCTCTGATGGGATACATTAAAGTCTCTGATGGGATTTCTGATGGGTAAAAGGTTGATATGGACTTGGTTCGGAAGAAAGAACTTAATGAGTCGTTAGGAGTGTGAGAATCGTGTTCAAGCTCATATCGGTGCTACAGGCAAAGAGAGGGCCGACATGCTGGCCAGAGAGGCTTCTGTGGGTAATGCCAGGGAGGCATTCGATATTCAAACATCAAAAAGAATTGTTATTGGTAAAATTAAGGATTTCTATTATGATTGCTGGAAAGAGAAATGGAACATTTCGGGGAAAAAGAAAGATTATTCGTTGAACTTTGAAGTTTCTAAAAATATGAGAATGATATGTGATTTTGATTACAATCAAATAATTACTGGACACGGGCGCTTCCAGGCGTACCCGAAAAGTTTTTATTTACAAAATAATAGTTTTTGTAGTGCTGAAGGAAATGAATGACATTTCGTCGAAGACTGCCTATTATTGCGACATGTTAGGGAAAAACATGGTAGCTTAAGGGGGCTCATACACCTTAAAACTCTTATGATCTTCGAATATATGACTGTTGCAAGAATTGGGATATTTTATTTATTTTAAAAGCTATTACACCAACTTTTTACAGCTGACTACATAATATAGCTGCTTTCTGAAATAGTCATCAGAACGTTTGTGTTGCCACAAATATTTTTATAATTTAATCCGCTTTGTGAAAAAATGTTTCGTCAAGTTTCCACCTTGCGCGCACAGTTTGAAACATTCTGTTGCATAATTTTATTCCATATTTAATATATAGCTTTTATAACATTTGGAAACGACCGTGAACCTCAAATTCTAAGAGTTTCATGTTCAATTTTTGTTTTACTTGGAGTTGAATTTATAGAATGTATTTTATGTAAAAAATCTGTAATGTTTTCGTGCATAAATTTTTTTAATACTAAAATATTCATCAAATTTTTGGTTCACTTAGAAAACAGTGCCCATATAAAGAATTCCATCCAATTTCAAGTATATACCATTAGCCATTTTTAAAATATCATGCGCGCAAGATGGAGACATGACGAACAATTTTGTCACAAAGAGGATTAAATTATAAAAATATTTGTGGCAACACAAAACTTTCTGATTACTATTTCAAAAAGCAGCTATATCATGAAGTCAGCTGTAAAAAGTTGGAAGTAATTGCTTTTAAAATAAAATAAAATATCCCAATTCTTGCAACAGTCACCTATTCGAAGATCTTATGGGTTTTAATGTGTATGAGCTCCCTTAAAGGAATTCTACTGCCTCAATAAAGAGTTTAAATTTGCAAAGGATTTGATGAGCTTTATAAATGTCAATAGAACTAACTGGTAATTTTGGCTTGATTTTTTTTTTTTTTTTTTTTTTTTTTGGTCTGTGTTGGATGTGCTGCTTTACCCACGAGACCGATTATTATCGGCCATGAGGGTTGCAAAAAAAAATTCGTATATTACATTATCCTAATGTACTGTCTGAATAATAAATAGTAATGCTTTGGCTAAATAGCCAATTTTGCAGTTACTACTGCAAAAGCAGAGAAGAAATAGTACAGATACTTTGATCTAGAATGTACTGATATAATTATTTCATGTTAATAAATTCCAAAGCCATTTTGATATCTATTCCTTCACAAGGATGTAAATTTGTTAATTTCTTCGGTCTTCGAACGCTTCAAATACTTTGACGATTGTCGAATTTGAGAATCTTATTTTTTTCACGCAACCTAATTTTTATTAAGTAAAAGACCAACCATAAACGCCAAATCATTAGAACAAATATGTACTATAAACAGGAAGCTTGCCCTCTCGTAATCTCCAGCCAGATGCTGTTACATCGTTTGATAAGCCTTTCAGAGACGAATTTGAGGAAAATGGCGTATTATGGCAGCATATTTTGCAATGTTACTTACACCTTTATACGAGAACCAACAGGTTGGAAGATTCTGAATGCCGATTAGAGTACAATATTCTTCCCATATAAGGAGATATCGACGCGCGAGATCCAAAGTCTTTCTCCGATACTTATAGAGTCTGTGATAAATCTTGACAATCCGCACTGAAATTGATAAAAATCGTAAAACGTCGAATTCGCGACAAATAGTTTCCCCATCAGAATTTTATCGTACTTTATAAGAAGAGTCAAAGGTTAAAACTAATTCATTGTTATGATGTAATTCAAAAATGTATCTAACGGTAAACAAATAACCACGTTACGTGATATCTCAACAAAGGTCTTTAAGTAATAATGATAAGACTGGTCTCCCAGTTCGAATTACTTACGTCTTATTAATTTCAAAGCTAAATAAATAGGAGACGTATTTTATTCAAACGATATATTTTATTTGCTATTCATTTAAAAGGTACTGGCAATTTTTAACCAAACAAAAGACATATTGTTTTTAAATACTAGCCAGTTGCGCGGTTTCAACAGTTAGAAGAAACATGTTCGACGTCACCCTTGCAAGTATTTTGTTATATTTTGCCTTTGTTAGTAAGACGGAAACGATGGAAGAACTCATTTTAAAATTTAGGGACGCTCTTTCTCTGAACAGGAAAAAATCTGATGTGTACATCAGATGACTTCCTTGTACGGGAAAATTAAATTACATGCATGTTTTCTTGCATTTCATTTAAACTTATTGGATTGAATTAAATCTATTTCGCCGACAGCGCATAAACCACAATAGAATAAATGCATTCTTTAAAATTCACTTTATTTGTTTACCATAGCGACACTCTAGCGCTAGGTTCACGTAACAGCATTATATTTCGTTCATATTATAACTCAGAATGCACAAAATTTATATCATTTAAAGAATTATCGAATCGTTGCCACATGTTCTATTCAAATACTATAATAAAGCTAGACGATGTATAAAGGAAATTAAGCAAACAAAACAAAAAAGAAACCGTTTTTCACAGACGATTGAGTATTTCTCATTCAATTAATTCAGTTCTTACTTTGCGACAAGGCAAAAATACATAAAAGCTCAAAATATCTGAATTAAAATTTACGAAGTAAATCTTAAACACTTATTTCCTCGAAAAAATTTCAGAAAGGATTAAGCATGATTTAATTCGCAATAATAAATGAAGGCGTTATCTTTGTTGTTGCAAAGCTAAGTTTCTCTAAATTGGCAACAAATCCACTACCTTGCTGTTTCAAATGTAAACAAGCAATGGCCGCCAACAAAAAAATTATTGGCTTAGCGGCACTTAACTTTAAAATTGTTAACAATTCTGAAAATATTGCCTACAGATTTACTAAACGTATAAAAAGCTTAACCGTAAGATAAGAACAACATAATTCAATCATTTTAAAGCAAAAAATGTACAATTTACAAACATATAAGAGTAAAGAAACTGAGATCACTGAGCCGGGTAACAGAGGGGTAACAGAGTGGATATATATAAATATAAATATTTATATACGTTTTGGTGCGGCCGATTGCAACCAAAATACGAGGTGCACATCTGCATGTTATAGCAGTCCCATATACAAAATTTCAACGTTACTCGTTTTTGAATTATGCGAGGTATGTACGTACATACGTTCGTACAGACGCCACGAAAAATTCTCTTCAGAATTAATTTTAAAGCAGTTTCTTAATTTTTTTGGAGGAAAAGCGTCTTTTATTCTGTCCTTACGTACAGATATGATGCAAAAACATCGTTAAATTGCATTCGATAGCGGTCAAAATGGATATTTTCGTTGAAATATGCTGCCTGAAACTTTTCGCGATTACAATACTTCCTTTTTACTTCGTACAAGGAAGTAGAAAGGTTATAAAATCTGTGTTTCTTTGGAAACATAAACTTTTAAAAGGGCTTTTGAAGAATAATCTTGAAGCTTTTGTGAAACTAAACGGAGATTAGGAGAAGGGTGGGTACATAAGACCCTTTTATTCAAGCATAAAATTAACAAATGACTTAACTGGGGTTACAGAAAGCCAACACTTCTGGCTTAACAGAAATACGTAACAAATAATAATTTCAAGGTTAGGTTAGTCTAAGGGCTCACAAAATGCTTTAACGCACAGGAAGAGCTCAGGTCTACATAGTAACCGGCGAGACCATATCAACGCAAGTTGCTAATAATCACAGCACAATGTGGCCTGGAATAAGCAGATACGATCTAAAAACTAACTCCCGAAACTCTTGCCTAAATAGCACTTCATTCTACCTTAATCTGAATAAACTCTCACTAACTCATTTACATTCTGGCATGAAACGCGTGGGTGAAAAGAGAGTAATAGGAAAGACTTTTCAACTTAAAATGAACTATTAGTTAAAATTAAATAAATAAACCTCACAAGATAATTCATGAATCACAACTTAATGCGATTAATTTCATAATTAGCCGATAATTATGAAATCAATTGCAGGCACCTGTGAATAATCTGAAACTTCTAATAATAAGTATGTCGTAATAAAGTGCAACAACAGCTACCAACATGCAACTTTTCGCCATATTGGACGAAACCCTCGACACCAGAGAAAGGAAAACACATCCGAGTCTGTGGAATGAGACTCCAGTACTCGAAGCTGAAGACAGCAAAATTTCCAAACTTTTTTTCGGGGGGGGGGGGATGAACGAAAAAGATGATCACTCACTCTTCTAACTTTAATTTCCGACTCGAACGTCCTTCTTACATGCGATATAAATTATCAAATATTCCTATTTTTCAAGAACAATATAAATTTCTACAATTTTCTGGATGACCTGTTGAGAGGTAGAATATTATTTATGTTGATTGCCTGTTTCAATGCAAAATCGTTAAAAACTTTTCACCGTGTAAAGAAAGGTAAAAAAATAAATAGAACTTTACATTACTTTTTTTTTTTTGTAGGTTCCATCACCATCTTTGTGGTTGTGTTTTCACGGAAAGTGAACGTCAATCCAGACAACGTCGCCGCTCCGATTTCTGCATCATTGGGAGATGTGGTCACGCTCGCTCTATTATCTTTCATTTCGAGGTTCATCTTCACTCGTTCAGGTGAGCCATGGATAATCTAAACTATCAATTTTCATGCATATAGTATGTGTTTATTTCTTAAAAAAAAAAAAAAAAAAAAAAAAAAAAATCAGTAATTTTATTTTGTTTTTGAGACCACTTAAATATTTCGAATTTCCCTGCGTGTTTTTCGAAGTGCCATTTTATCACTGTATTATTCAAATCGCCTTTGGTCGACGAAGTTCGATTAGAGTTTCAAGAGAAATGATTGCTGTCTCGGGACTCAGCACGTTGGCTTTAAGTCGAAGCATTTCCTCGATGTTTGTCCGATCAATATTTTCGTAGAATTTTTACCACGAATTTTACCATCGTCACTCACGGGTAATCTGCGCTCGGATAATCGAGAGTACACTGTACTTTGAAGTTCATTTATGTATTAAGTTTAATGTTACGGGTATATTATCGATTTCAAATATATTTTACCATCGTCACTCACGGGTAATCCGCGCTCAGATAATCGAGAGTACACTGTACTTTGAAGTTCATTTATGTATTAAGTTTAATGTTACGGGTATATTATCGATTTCAAATATATTTTACCATCGTCACTCACGGGTAATCCGCGCTCAGATAATCGAGAGTACACTGTACTTTGAAGTTCATTTATGTATCAAGTTTAATGTTACGGGTATATTATCGATTTCAAAATATATTTTACCATCGTCACTCACGGGTAATCCGCGCTCAGATAATCGAGAGTACACTGTACTTTGAAGTTCATTTATGTATTAAGTTTAATGTTACGGGTATATTATCGATTTCAAATATATTTTACCATCGTCACTCACGGGTAATCCGCGCTCAGATAATCGAGAGTACACTGTACTTTGAAGTTCATTTATGTATTAAGTTTAATGTTACGGGTATATTATCGATTTCAAATATATTTTTTGTGGTTATTTAAAGATATGTATGGATACTGGAAAGTATTATAGCCGTTTCTGTTTTTACATGGAAATATTTTCCTCGCGGTTAGCATGAAACTATCGAAATTTTGTCATTAACTTTATTAGCCTTTTACTAAATGTAACTTCTCGCTAATCCTCAATAAGACTGTAACTCGCTAATCCTCAATAAGACTGTAAGTTACTTATCGTTATGTCTTCGAAGTATTACAAAGACTTGAGAAGAAAGTAACAGACCCTTTATTTTAAAACTAAGTAAGTCGAACAGAAGGCATATCTGTTGCTTTAGAATCAGCCAGATTTAGGGCGTGAACTCAAAATAATCAATGTAACTCAATGTAAATCTAAACAGATAACAGCCAAAGGCTACACGTAGTAATTTAATCGCGAAGTTGATTCTCAAAGCTTCACTGGCGTGAAATACTACGGGCAGTTATACAGGATGTCCCTTAAATGTTGCGACAAACTTCTTGGGGAGGTAGGACATATAAGGATTAAGAATTGCATAGAAACCATGCCCGAAAATGCCAGGGTTAAGTGGTAGCAGAGTTAGAAGATGGCAAAGAAAACAGGAGAGTGATTAATTTGAAACATTTAATTGGACCTGAATACAAATGATGTACGACAGCTTGAGTGATACAAGAGATGCTCGAAGTTTGCACCATCAGACGCCAAACATGCCTGACACCGACGGATCATTTATTACTGGACATGTTCAAACACATCGGGAGTTTCTTTAATTGTAGCAGCTGCGCAGGCGAATCTTGCCAAGAGATCCATTTCAGACGCAACAGGATCGTGATACACGACAATTTTGATGGCACCTCACAAAAAGAAATCAAGAATCAATAAATCCGGTCAGCGTGGGGAGCCAGGACTAAGTGTGGGAAGCACCAACACATCGCCATTGGCATCGCCATTGGTGTCGCTCCTTCACACTAACCGTCTTGAGATTAACACCTCCACAGGGCGTATTTACGCCAGGCATCGGTGTTAATTGAAACGTTAATCATTAGGGCATAGTGAACTTGTGGTACGGAAGATACAGTTGCTGATGACAATGACATTACAAATACAATACCATACATTACAGTTGATGGTGAAATTATAAATATAAATATATGTACACAAATAAACAAAAAGAAATGAATGGAAAAACATTAAACACTATTATCTTGGCTAAGTTATTGTGATATTAATGTGATGTTATTAGGACAGTGTAGCAGTTCATAGATGGTTCACAGTTCATTGTCAGTTCCAGGGGAGCCAGGAAACCAATCCACTACGCCCAATCCATTGATGCGGGAATGATCTGTTCAAATGGCTACATACATCCAGTCCAAAATGAACAGGTGCTCCATCATTTTGGAACCACATGTTCACAAGCTCTCTTTTCGTATAGCGTTCCATGCTCTTCGTATGGTGCCTACCGCTCGAATGAAGCAATCCTCACTTTCCACTAGCACTTTCCTGTACAACAGCCCCTGGCGGCGTACAATAATGTTTTGAGGCATGGGTTCCTATTCAATTCTTAATCCTTATGATGTGCCCTACCTCCTCCAGAAGTTTGTTGCAACATTTACGGGACACCCTGTAATGCACGGCCGAAGAAGGAACACTTATCTTAGCACACCTAATAACGTGGCCTTCCCTAGGCAAAACACCCTCCGACTTCAAAATCTGAGTCTTCCACTTAAATACACGAGAACTGATTTGCATTCTTGCCGGAAAATGGAAAGAGAGAAGAGACAGTAAACGTTCTGGACATAAAATAACTGGTTAAAAAATTTAATAAACATAACAACTTTAATTACCGATTAAGTATACAAAAAGTTATCATCTTTCCTTTGGATAAATTTCTGTCTTAAAGCAACAAACGTGAACTTATAATTTTTATAACGAGATATAAATTTTAATGTAATTTATAGGCCAGTACGTTTGGGTGGAAGCTGCGGTGGTGATTGGACTGCTGTGTCTCATTCCCTTGTGGGCAATCTTGTCTTACCGAAACATCTACACCAGGCATGTTTTGTATTCTGGATGGATCCCGATCATCAGTGCAGTGGCCATCTCCAGGTTAGACTTTTCAATCGTAACTGCGACTGAAATATTTATAATTTGCATGTATATAATGCTTAAGAAGGTATTTTATGGATACATTTTTGAATAATTTAGATCTTTATAAATAGCCTAGAATGCAATGTGTGTGCATTCTTGTAAATTGTAAAAGTTTACTCTGAAGCTGGGTGAAAACTTACGTTAAAAGGAGAAAATCAGTATCGATAATCATGAAATCTCTTTCTGGAACTTTTAAAAAGAAATTCAAACCCTAGGATAAAAAATGTTTCTAATATTTTTGTGGTTAAATTATTTAAGTGAAGAAAATGCAATCTTGATTTATATTAATCTTTTACTTAAATTTATATTAGTAATATATATCATATTAGTATATACATATATATTAATAATAAATTTTATATTAGTAATATAATTATATTAGTATATACATATATAATTCATATTAGTAATATATTATATATTCATATTAGTAATATTAAATTGATCTCTTAGTTGAATTTTCAAATCTTTACAAAATGTCATGGAAAAAAAGCATTATTAATAATTAGAAAAGCCATTTTTTTACGAACAAGCCTGAGCTGTGAGGTATCAATAGTATTTCAGAAAACTATAACAGAAACAGTAGATTTGCATGCTTCAAAATAAATAAATAAATAAACACTACAAAATTATGGTTATTTTTTTTCTTTTAAATACAAGGTACACTGCGAAAAAATGGGGGGGGCGGGGGGACAGTTCTATATCTCCCGTTCTACTGGGCCCATTGACGAAATTCAAATTACGTTTTTCATGTCTCGAAAAGGCGACTTAGGATATGCATTAGATTTATATATAGCACTGTTCTAATATAGGCATGTTGAAACAAAATTAAACGTTTTCCGAAATAACATACCAATTTTCGTCCATATTTCGATTATACGAATCAAATTATGCCAGGTTGCCAAGTTTTGCAAAAACCGCATGAGTAGCTTTTAAAAAATTAGCTCTCAAAATTTTAGCTCCTCCATATCAATTAATTTGGTATATATTTATTAATATCTCTTTTTTATTAAACTTTTGTTATTATTCCTTTCACATTTCGAAATTTAGGTTCATTCCAAATAAAATTAATTTTTAAATAATTTTTCTAAATTTCCAAAAATATTTTGAATTATAACCTATAACATTTTTACTATTGTCTTAAAGTAGATGTATTTCTAAGCACAGCTGCAAAAAATTAGAGTTTTTTATTAAAAATTTCGTAAGATATACGCAAATTTACAGATTGGCGCGTTTTGAAATTTGCCATATATTTTAGAAGCGATAATAACGCCAAATGCGGTTTACGCACTTTAATAAAATTATCTGAAAGTATGAACAATGACTTTTCCCCCTCGCTTCTATACAGTGAAAAAAAAAGAAAGGAAAATAGGTTGCTATAAATTAAGAAGTTCGCCAAGTGAATTATTCCTAGCGCAAACGGAAAAAAAATGCGCCCAGATAAATTTTTTAAGTTTCTTCATAAATTTCTCACCAAAAATTACAAAATTTAATAGCTAGGCATAATTTGAGTCGTAGACTCGAAATATGGAAGAATATTGGCATGTCATTTCAGAAAAAGTCCGATTTTATGTCAAAATATCTATATTAGAACAATGCCATACATACATCTAATACATATCCCAAGTCGAGCTTTCGGGACATGAAAAACGCCCGTTGAATTTCGTCAATCGGCCGTGTATAACGGGATATGTAGAACTACCCCCACCTTTTTTTGCGTAGTGTACAAAGAAATACAAGCCTAATATTTACAGCTGAGTGATAGTTACATAATGTTCTACCACAGCGCCTCCGAAGATCAATACGCATCGTTTTTACTGGCACAATTCAGATTCAAAGTTTAAGGGGAGAGGAGACCAAAGCGAAGTCAGATTGAGGGTAGAAAAGTTAATATAGTTTTTGATTTATTTCAAGACTTTTTTAGGATTTATGTATCTACTTAGGTAGGAATTTGATTTATAATGACTTAAGCAAACGAAGCATAAGAATAAATTTATTGCCAATCGGAGATATATACATGTATATAAGGAACATCCATTTCTGAAAGAAATTACGGTGCGTAACTTTAAATCATCAGCCTGCCATTTCCTAGTAAAATCTAACTGAAGCATAACACATAATTTAAGATTTGAATAATTATGTAGGATGGTGACAGCTTGCAAAAGTGATAATATTAGATTTAAAATGCAAGGCGGAAGTTAAAGAAAGCATTCCTTGCGTGGGATTTTAAAAAAATTTGCTGTAATGAAAATGATTTTTTTTAACTTCAGTTCTTAATATGACAATTACTTTTACAGCGGTGGAGGTTATATCCTTAATTTTGCTGTTGCAAGATTTAAAGAGATCGCAGCTTGTCAACCCGTCATCAATGGTAATTATTCGTTTATCTATCGTAGCTACTTCTCTAATTTCAATCCAGTATTTCTCTTGTACTCTTAAAAATGAATTTATTTTAATTAAACTAGAAACAGATAATAAATATAGTAAATAATGAAAAAAAGAAAGTATGAAAACTTTCGTATTTAATATTACTTCAAAGGGCCAGTCCCCTCCTCCATTTAAACACACATACACATTTCGAGAGTTGGGTTAACGTCCCTCAAAATATTTAAAACCAGCTATCTTTAGAATTTCTAATAAACAGTCTCATGAGCTGGAGATAAAAATATTTTATTCCGCACAGTGCTACTACTACTACTCGCTTTGAAATTGTTGAGTTTCTTAATAAAAAATTCGTTAAAGTTTTAAAAAAATATAAGGTAGATAATAAAACAAATTGCAAATACGAGCTTCCAGGTGTCCATATTCGGGCGGAGGGCTACGTCATTCAAAACTGGATAGCTGTAGGTACCGCTGTCTTTCACAGTGAGACAAACGTATATACACTGCTGGCCATTAAAATTGCAACACCATAAAGGAAAGCAAATACAAAAAAAAAAATAAATAAAATATTTAATGTATGTAAACAGTATGACATGAAGACAAAATGATTAAATTTGTAAGCAGTTTCGGGGCTTACAGGGGTGCGAAGTTAGTAGAAACGGCTGCATCCCTGGCGACTAGAACGACTTTTATCCAGTTAGACATGAAGTCGAACTGGGCTTGGATGACAGAAACGGGCAACTCATTCCATGCTGCTTCAAGTTTATGCCACATTTCATCAACCGTATTAACTGGAGAGGGGTGGCGGGACAGTTTCTCAGCAACCAATGATCAGATGTTTTCTCTGGGTCACAGATCTAGAGACCGTGTATATCAGAGCATCAATCGAATATCCTATGCATCGAGGGAAGTCAGAACAAGACGTGAAACATGTGGTCTTGCATTATCTTGTTGGATAATGGGGTTTGGCAGAATTCGAAGACAGGGAACAACTATTAGACTTAAGATGTCAGAAATGTGCCGATTTGCGCTCATATCACCGTCGATCCGAACTAGAGATGTGCGTGTCGTGTACTCAATGGCTGCCTAAAACATTACGCCAGTGCAGGGCCCCTATGCCTATATCGAATGCAAGCAGGCGACATGCAGTCTCCTCGGAGCCTCCAGACACGTATGCGGCCATTAGATTACTGCACGCAGAACCGGGACTCGTCTGAAAAGACGACGATGTGCCACTCCTGTATCCAGCTTTGTTGTTCGGCGCACCAGAGTCGCCGTCTCTCTCTATGCTGCATTGTCAAGGGGAACCGACGTAATGATCGCCGTGTTGATAATCCACGCTGCTGCAAGCATCGACGCACCGTACGAACGGATACTGGGTGTGCTGCAAACGTGCCTTTTTCCTGACTAATGGTCAGTGATGTGGTTGTACAGTTTTGCACGGCTGACCTCACAATATGTCTGTCTTCTCGGGCGTTGAGATACTGCATGTCGTTCAGTATGACTCTCAGCAACCCACTGATTCCATATTCGCATGACAGTGGCTGGATGTCGACCCGTGCGACGGGCGATATCACGGAACGATAATCCGAACACTTGATAGGCAACAATCCTGTCTTTATCGAATTCCGAGACTGGCTGGTAAGCATTTCTACTTATTATTGGAAGCATAACGCGATTTTGTGAACAAATTTTGACCTTACAAAGCACTTTTCGAATGAGATATCCACTACACAACTTTTCTTTCATGTAGTGCTTCAGATGTCGTTTCTCCGTCCTGCGTCGTGTAAATGCGCTGAAATGCTAATCATTTGCATATCCTAACTTTTTCTCTCTTTCGTGGGATTCTGACGTTCTTCAGATCATTCCTTCCTGGTACTGCAATTTTAATGGCCAGAAGTGTACATTCATGCAGATTCTTCATTATTTAATTTCTTTAAATATAGTATAGGACGATAATATTTCGTCACAACAATTTGAAAAGTGAAGCGAGCACTTATAGTAAACCAACGCAAAATGCCCTTCCGAGACTAAGATTCCATCTGGATAATAATAGTGTAAAAATGAAATAAAGTTTTAATTGACCGATATAATCATAAGGTATTGTATATTTTTATTTAAGTTGACACACATTTATCCATTGGCAACACTAAGTAATTTATTGATTTCCATTAAACGATTGAATTGAATTTATTTCCTCTAAAACTTTATGTATATTTTCTTGTTTTTGTTAAGTTACAAAGTTTCTTGCTTTGTTTTCTTTCCTTTAAAAAGAAGTGAATAATCTTAAGCAAATTGTTTATTGTTTGTCCAGGTCTAACTGTCGTAGTAACTAATGAGTATAAAGAGTATACTATTTTTCAATTTGAGAGCTCCCCCCCCCTACATTAGCGGTTTATTCTGCAATAAACAATTTGAATATAACAGAATGATATGTTATTTGCTGGCAAAGCTTAATTTTAGCCGAAGTCCACCACAAATTGACTCCGGTATTTGCTTGTTTAATACCATTCTTAATCTAGTTAAACTATGCCACCTGAGCCTCACTGTTTTGAAAAAGTCATCTTAGTCCTTACGAAAGCATATGAACCATCGATAATTACAAATAAAGAACAGAACAGGGTTCTGTACACCCAAAGAATTTCATGTTTGATATGAATGATATGATTTTTTTAATGTTTTATTAATCTTAGAACGATTATTTAAATACCTGAAAAATCCTTTTCATTTATAAAATAATATTTCTGCATATCATGTCACTTGCAGTGTTACAAACGAGGTTTACTATGGCTTTTGCTAATAGAATTGAAAATATATTTAGAAAACAGCACTTGGTTACTTAGGCAATTATACAAAATCCACATTTTATATTAAGGACTTTCATCACAAAGATTGATTGTTTCTTCTTCAGTTTTATTGCGTTATTCAATAACGTGTTTTTTCGTGCTTAAATTATGATTAACGTTATTCGCAAATTTACATAAAGTTTAATTTTCCTACAGGAGTAGGTGGAAACTTAGTTGCAGTTCAGGCCTGTAGGATTTCAACGTATCTTCACCAAAATGCGAAACCAGGAGCGCTATCCAAAGAAGAACTATGTGTCAGCCCTTTCGTAGCTTGGTTGGGAAAAAGTAAGCATATCCTTTGCATATTGTGAATTTTAAATCCTTCTCTTTCATTTATTTATTTTTATATATCTATAGCAAAATAAAATTCTCTTTTGAAGCAAATCAAATATATAAATTTATTTTTCCGCTGAAAAAGTCAAAACAAATTTGTGTACTTCGCGACTGTAAACCTGCAATTCTACGTCTCCGATTAAATTGGCTAGATTTTCACGATTGCCGAAGGATTTTTCCCCACAGGATGGCATTCAAAACAAGAACAATCAGAACGAACAATGTGTTGTTTAGTTGTTTATATTACTTTTGTTTTTCGGGAAAAGTCAATAGGAATGAGAAGATATAATTTATATAATTTTGCAAGTCACCAATTTTTACTTCCCTGCACGAAGTAAAACAGTATTCTAAACGCGAAAACATTTCGGGTATTATATTTCAACGAAAATATCCATTTTTATCACTCTCCGATCCATTTGAATGATGTTTTTGCGTGCCATCTCTACGTACGGACAGAATAAAGGATTTTTCCCCAAAAAGGCGATGGTTTATAATAACTTAAAAAGGCTTCAATGAGTAGTTAGAAAGTTAATATTCGAAGACAGATGTAGCCATAAGTTCCACACATAACTGAGCTCAGTTTTTTTATTCCTATATGTTGGTAAATTGTGCATTTTTGCTATAAAAGTGACCGACCTATGTTGTTCCTATGTTCCAGTTAATATTTCTATGTCTTTGGTTAATCTGCATGCAAGAATTGTAGAATTATCAACAGTTTAAAAGTTTAAGCAGCGCTAAGCCTAACAAGGCTACCATTTAATTAAGTCGTTTGGTACACTAACTTCAGTGTAATTTTCCCACTGTGAGCAAAATTTAATTTAAAATTTTGGGCACTTTGTGTAGAAACTCTAATTTTATTTGTAAATTTTTTTTAATTGTTTGTAACTGTATTTGATGTTTGAGGCTTTTCTACATTTTACAATTTTTAATGTTGTTTGAGTTTTATGTATTTTTGCCTTGCCGCGATGAGAACTGAACTGACTGAATTAAGGGGGGCTCGTACACCTTTAAACCTTTAAGATCTTTGAATATGTTACTGTTTCAAAAATTGGTATAACTTGTTTATTTTAAAAGCAAATTACTTCTTTTTACAGCTGCCTACATAATATAGCTGCTTTCTGAAATAGTAATCAGAAAGTTTGTGTTGCCACAAATATTTCTATAATTTAATCCGCTTTGTGACAAAATTTTTAGCCATGTTTTCACCTTGCGCACACAGTTTAAAACATTCTGTTGCATAATTTAATTCCATATTTAATATATAGCTTTTATAACATTTGGAAACTACTGTGAACCAAAAATCGTAAGGATTTTATTTATTTTATTTGAAGTTGAGTTTACAAAATGTATTTTATTAACACTCGCTTATCATCATCAAACGAAACTTAAAACGTGTTTTGGCAGGTAGTACTATCTAGGCTCACTTATCCCTCTTTCGGCAGCTAAAGAATCCCTTTTCTTTCCCTTTCTCTCTCTCTTTCCCTCCTACAGTACAACGGTTTTGGCCTAATCTTTGGAATATGGTAACAGGTAGTTTGGCGACATTTTGGTAAGGCGATAAAGTTACTAGCAAGGACTTTAGCAATAATCTGAGAAGTACACAGTTCCAATCACAGATTATTTTGCGGTGACTTTTTAATGGATTTAGAGGGAAAGAAAATTAATGTAATTTCTTGCATATTTTATTTATTTATAAGTGCAAATGTTCATCCTTGGAAAGGGTATATGCAAGCGAACATATAAAGCTTGCATGCAAATACATTTTAGCGATCAGGTTTCATTATGTCTTTTTATCGACTTCAAAGATTCACAAAATTTTCCTGCATTTTTCGTGCAAATTTTTCTAATTATGAGAAAAATTATTTACATGTTTCATATATAAATTTGCCCTGTAAAAACAAATTTCTTGCACGTTGTTACACTACTTCCGAAAATTCCGATCGTGATTTTAGTAATAAGCACTTAGAAACAAATTTCGCACCTAATCTTCGTAATGATAAGCACTTTTGTTCCATAAAATTCTAGCATAAGCGTAATTCGGCTAGCAGATTGTTGGAAAAAATGTTGAGTTAAAAAAAATAATAATAATATGCCATTATTTCGTGAAAACAAAATGACGTCCAAAAAAAAATAAAAAAAAAAAAAAAAAACTAGCAGGGCTGGTCGCCAAATTTTGGCCAAAAAAATCACCAAGTTACCATAATCCGAAGATTCACCCGGTTTTGTTTATATAAATACCATATAGGATATCCAGTTACGTGGAATGACACAACTTTTGCAAAAACCGCAAAATTTTGCTACAGTTACAAAATTGAATTATGAAAGTACTCTAAAATTAAAACAACTAGAGAAATTCTGTTGAAATTTTGTAAGGGCATAGCAATATATATGTAATAACTAAAAAGAACTTATGACATTTATCAAAATACAAAATATTTATCATTTTTGGAAAATTAGTACACGTGCATATGCATGTAATTGTCAAAAAATTTTACTCCCTGTTTAATCCTGTAAATGTTTTTACAGTTTTCTGTTTTTCTTCCAGATGTCCATGCTCGCACTTGCCGTATCCTCATATTTATTGCCATTCCTGGCCACCTGATCTTCATTTCCTGCGTTCACTTTTTAAAAAGCACCTACACTCCTTTGACGGTGGAGTTCCTGCTCTTCTATCTCATAGCCGCCCTCCTTCAAGTGGCCATCCTGCTCTACATGGCCCACTGCTTCGTCCACTGGCTCTGGAAGTGGGGATTTGATCCTGACGATGCGGCCATTCCGTACTTGACAGCTTTCGGGGACCTTCTGGGAACGGGATTTCTCCTCGTGGCCTTCCTCGCAATGGATGCCCTGTAAATGAAGAGTTGCAGTTCGACGGTTCGATACGCGCTTCTAAATTGTAAAAAGCACGAACTCGAATGCTAGTCAATTTATAATAAGCAGCTAATTATATATTAGATCACCAAATGCTAAAATGCTTAAATCTAAAAATGCATTCTTTCGTTTTTGTGCAATTAAACATAAATATTTATGTATTTTTTTATCCACAAGGAAATAAAAGCGCACTTTTATACTTTCATGTTAGTCTGTTTATGATTTAAATTATTTTTACTCTTGTCTGTTTAACTTTTCAAGGCTTGATTTATAATCAAGAGAAAGAAAGACGATTTGTTAATATAGCGGTGCCATTTATGACTATAGAACTCGATGCTTCGACCCGCGTCCATTTCTGCAAAATTCGCCAACATTTTCTGAACCCACAGAACAGTAATATCTCATTGGTTTTTCATGTGTGTAACTTTTGATGTGATTTATGCTTAGGTATAAAATGGCATTCTTAACAACTTATAAAAATTTTTTTGGTCTGGAGATTTCAAAATGAAATTGGCTGCATAGAATAAGGGAATTAGTTGCTAGAGATAATTATAATTATTTCTTATACGATGATTTGCATTGTTTTCAATTCAAATGCTTTCAAAGCGTGTGTGATAAAGAAACGTATGTTATTTGCATACATTTGAATATTCTTCCTTATAACGGATGAATATACAGCTGCAACTATCTACTTAACCAATTACTGAACATTTTGGGTTTCTTTACAGAAATAAATTTCTGCAAAATACACAGAAACTGCAGATATTATCTCACGTAAATCTTAACAGTCGTAAAATAACTAAATGAAATTACCTTTTGAAACTCTAATTTCCTCTCATATTTTTTTTATTCGAAGTGTCTTTGTGTTTAAAAGACTTTATGTAATATCTATGCATAATTTTGTATAATATATCTATTTTAATTAAACGACCTTTAAAATTGCAATGAAAAAAATTTTTATCAGCATACGATCCTACGATAATTCGCATTAAATGAAACAATTAGTGGAACAATGAGCTTGTTTCTGCTTTGGTTTTGTTTAAGATCGGGTTGTCTCTCTTTTGTGAAAAATGAACTTCTTTTTCTCCATTGTTCATTGGCAGTCACTCCAAAAGAGGAGCTGGATTTTAATTGCAATTAACTTCTCAAAATGTTGCCTTCCTTAACAAGTTGAGCGCCAAGCGTATTTCTTAGGCAATCCGATTCAGGCCACGCGCGCCTCTTAAAAGCGCTGGTATTGTAGGGCCAGCGATTCTTATCGCAGTAAAAGATAGTTTATGTTTGGAACATGATTCCTATAGGCATTCACTCAACACGATACACGCTAAGTCTGTTTTGTAAATAGTTACATTCTATGCAAAGATATTACGAAGCAGAAAATTAGCATTACTGAAGTCCGGAAAGAAATAGCGCTATCCCTTACAAGTTAATAAAAGAAAATATTCCATCGAACAGAAATACAAGAATATCTAAAAAACGACAACATACGACAACTTACATAGTTTTTTTTGGCGAATTTTTGAAGGTTTAAAAAATAGGCCAAAAATCGAACGGAAATTCCCTACAGAAACTCCATTCGCAAATTTTAAAAATCCGAGATAGCCAAAATGTTGCTCTCGAAGAGTAGATCAATTTTAAAAAAAGTTTCTCTCTAGGCCCAATAGGACCCGACTTTCATA